AGCATAATATTATATTTTTGAAAAATAATTAAGTTTCAGTCAAAATGTTCAGAAACAATACAAAAAGCTTATAAAGTAAGAAATAGCATGAAGATAATGGATTTTTTACAAAAACGTGTCTTTACTATTTACATGGTTCGTTTAATGTCACATAAAAAATTGTTATTTGATGCTAATAACATTTTAGCATCTTGCTCCCTAAAATGAACACTGTCTCGATTGTTTAAAAATGCTTCCTGCATTTCGCGTAGATTCATTTCCAGTTGTTGGTGTAATTTCCGTTTATTTTCTCTGAGAACCTAAAAAATCAGTAAATAAATAAAAGATTTATTTAAGTTGATATAAAACAAACTATCATCATCATAATATAACAAATGTTTGAGCTACTACTATTGAAAATGTCGAATAGGTTTGTAAACAGCGATCGATTATAATCAGTTTTTCATTCTTAATTACAAGAAACTGAATAGAACGATAGTAGTGTGGAAGATTTTGCATTCTGCAGACTTGATGGTTTAATCATGAAGAAATTTGACTGTTGTACTGTCAATTCAATTCGGTTGTTTGTTTACTTTGAAAAAGTGGCTTACATTAGGTCACGAAAAGTCAGAAATACAATATTTCTACTCATTGGGATATAACAAAAAATATATTTATTATTAATTATCTACCCAATGCTCAGTTTATTAGAAACCATCATGTCCGACCCTAGCATTGATACCTATAATGGCTAAAGCGACTGAAAAACTTTTCTTAATAAGAGCTCAATAAACTTAAATGATCTCGTATAAATGAAAGTGTTCCATCACCTGATATACAGAGAAATAAAACCAACTTGTCATCAATACAGTCTAACGAATATTTCAATCATAACAATAGTGATTGTAAGCCAGTCAGTCAGCTACAACGTAGGACCAGGCACATATGTGCATCGGTCCAGGTTGCCATACCTCATTAGCACAGCAAGATGAACAGCGGATTCATAGGAGTGGTTAGGTCAAAGGTTGCAATAAGGATATAGTATAGGAAGAAAGAATTAGTTCGTAGACAGAAAGAATGAAGTGATTTTAATCTTTTAGTTTAAGGGAAGACAGGGAGTGTATACACCGACGCCATTTTGATCGATTCTGAGCAATGTCACCAAGAGTCTCCAACCATTGGTTACGAAAGTCACGCGGACCCCAACCAAGTAGTCTGCATCTAAAAACATGGCTCAGACTAGAAGTTAGTGACTTCAGGCACTGATGCAACGTTTTGGTTTGGCCGCCCCTAACTTTCTTCCAACCATCTCCAACACCGGTTAGCATTGCACGTCGTGGTAATCGGTGTTTAGGCATACGTAATACGTGGCCCAACCATCTCAGTCGATGAAGATTCATAACCTCATCAACTGATTTACCATCATTCCCTAATACCCTGCGTCTAACCTCACTATTACTTACCCGGTGATCCCAGCAGACGCCAGCAATATTTCTAAGGCATCTGTGGTCAAATACTAGTAACTTACGGGTGTCTTCTACTCTTAATGGCCATGTTTCGCTGCCGTAAATTAAAACAGAACGAACTGCCGCGCAGTATACTCGTCCTTTTATTGATAGACGGATATCTCGCTCTCGCCAAAGGTGACGTGAGTTGGCAAAAGCCAAACGAGCTTTTCGAATCCGTGCTGAGATTTCGTCAGACACCAACCCATTAGGGCTGATCAGACTTCCAAGATAAGTGAAGTTGTCAACGCTTTCGACTACTTCACTCCCTATCCTTAGCTCAGGTGTTGACCCAGACCAGTCCTGAAGCAACAACTTGCATTTAGAGGGAGAGAAGCGCATCCCAAACATTCTGGCATTGTTGCTTAGTGCTACCAGAAGACTCTGCATTTTGTCAGCGTCTTCACCAAACAGGACTATGTCATCTGCGTATTCTAAGTCGATAAGTGGACCTCCTGGAAGGAGATCAATACCCGAGAATCCAGTCGACGAAAGTGTTATTTCAATCAATAGGTCTATGATGAAGTTAAACAGAAATAAAGAAAGTGGACAGCCTTGACGGACACCACTTGAGGTTACGAAAGTAGATGACAGTTCGCCATAAGCCCTGACTCGACTAGTAGTGTTCGAGTAAAGAGCCTTCACAAGGTTTATGTACTTCTGAGGTACGCCTTTCAATGACAGACACTGCCACAGAGTCTCGCGGTCTACCGAGTCAAATGCTGCTTTTAAGTCAAGAAATACCACCATCGTCGGACGCCGATAGGTATGCCTGTGTTCTAGAACCTGACGAATGGTGAATATGTGGTCGATGCAGCCACGACCAGGTCTAAAGCCAGCTTGTTTCTCTCGAGTTTGTAGTTCACGAGTCTTAGTTAGACGTTTGATAATTATCGAGGCCAGTATTTTAGATACTATGTTTGTTAAACTAATCCCTCTGTGGTTGTCACAGTATGATTTTGACCCTTTCTTATATATTGGGACGATAAGTGATTGCGACCAGTCAGATGGGATAAAGTCTAATTTTCAGATCTTAGCTAAAATATTAGTCAACTTAATCGCTAAAATTGGACCACCATCCTTAAAGACCTCTGGAGCCAATCCATCTGGACCAGCTGCCCTTCCACGTTTCAGATTAACTATAGCCTTTTGAACTTCAGCAAGAGTCGGGGGACCTACTTCAATGTTCCATTCACACTGTCTGGGAATGGAGGGTAGATGTAGAGTAGCTGAAGGCCAGCTGAACTGTTCCCTAAAGTGTTCCGCCCATCGTTCTAGACGCCTGGACTTGGAGCAGATGAGTGTATCGTCTTTTTCCGATATAATCTCACTTACACTTGACTTATTAATTCCAGTTTCTTTTATTAGTCTGTAAAGCTGTTTTGTGTTCCCTATAGTCACCGCCTTTTCCATCTCTTTTGCTTTCGATGCCCACCACTGCTCGCGGTCGTTTCTTAGACTTTTTCTTAACCTAGATCTGATTTGTTTTCGCTCTTCATCATCTTCAGAACCTGATGGGACGAGTTTGCGAGAATCCATCAGTGTGACAGACCTTGAAGAAATCCACTGGTTCCTTGCAACTCTGTGGTTTAAGTCACTAATAGATGTCACTGCTGTTTCCACAGCTGATTGTATGCCCTTCCAAGCAACATCTGGGTCAGCCTCGTCTTCACAACTACCTAAGTGTGACCTCAGTTGTTCCTGGAACCTACTTTTGGTTTTCTCGTTACTCAATTCAGTTCTAACGGGTCTTTTTAATGTGGCTTTTTTTGCGTCCAGTGAGGCGCAAGCAGATGCGTGCCCGTATTAGGGCATGGTCGGAGTCCAAGCAGGTACTCCAGAATGAGCGACAATCTTCTACCGACCCTCTCCAACGATGACTGATGGCAATATGGTCTATTTGAGTCCATCGTTGGTTTGGTGTAGGGGGTCGCCAAGTTAGACGATGTCTCTCCTTATGCTTAAAATTTGTGTTTGCTAAAAATAAACGATTGTCTGAGCATAGCTGCAGCAGATGATCACCATTATCTGTTCGCTGTGTCGGAATACTAAAATATCCACCTAAATGCCTTTCTGTTTGGTTTAAACTGCCTATCTGAGCATTAAAATCACCTGCTACGAGTACTATGACTGAGCGTTTAGCTTTCTGAAGTTCGGACAGCTTTCTGTAAAATTCATCTTTCACATCATCTGAGCTGCAGTCAGTGGGAGCGTAGGCAGAAACGACAAAAAGTCAACGACGTATGTCCCTATCCTTCCGAGTTCTTACGGAGCCGTTCAGCCGAACATCACATAGACGACTGTTGACGGGGATCCACTCTAGCAGTGCTTGTTCGGCCCTCATGCTTAGTGCTATGCCTACACCTGCCAGTCCACGAGAACTTGCCATCGGGTCACCATATACACGGAGGGTGTACCTCGTTGGCTCTCCGTTTTGCCGAGGTGAGGTCAAGTGAATGACCACACTGGAATCCTGTATGCGTGTTTCCTTGACACAGCACAGGTCAATGGTAAGAGACTCTAGGGTTTTAGCCAAGGAAGCCTGCTGACCGATTTGACATAGGGTTCGTACGTTGAAGGCTCCAATGTGTAGTTTGGAGCGAGGTTTCAGTAGACCTGGGACAGTATTTTGCGCACTAGAATCGTTGGCTATGGTGACACTTGAGGTGGAAGCCAAGAGAGGAAATTTAAAGTTGAAAGTCGATGTAGGAGGAATAATAGGAATTGAAGAGGAAGGTTGATTATGAATACAGTGGTCTTGAGTGCTGTTAGAGGTATGAGGGCGGTTTTCACTTCCCGGTTGCCCACACCGTGGAAGGGTTGTTCTGGAGGTACCTGAAAAGGAATTTGGATTAAAGGTGGTCTTAGTGACCTGAGAGCGTGACCGCAGTGCCCAAGGGACAACTGCTTGAGGTCGGTCACACACGAACTTTTTATGGGTACTTTTTGTGTTAGCTCCTTACTTGTCGAGACCATACCGCTAGAGACGGATATCCGTGGGATAAGACGAGGTGTGCATTTTTAAAATCGACCTTTTCTAACCCCACCCCTCCTTGTGGGGAGGCAGCATCGCTGTCATGCTGGTTGTCTGAAGGAAACACCTTACTGCTGTCACACCTCTGTACAGTCAGCAGCACGACTTCGCCTTCGGACCTTGGGTTTGTTGCTTTTAGTCTTACCGCTCTTCAACCGACCTGTCTGACATGGTAGGACCTTGAGAAACGGTTGTTCCAGCCAGTATAGCTCGGTTGCTTCATCATGATAGGCAAGCCCGACCACTACGTCAAGGTACCAACAACGGTCGGGGACTGTAAGCCAGATCTACGATTGAATAAAACAACACACTTAGAACACAATGAACATCGTTTCACTATAGCGTATGGAAATAAGCATAATATTATATTTTTGAAAAATAATTAAGTTTCAGTCAAAATGTTCAGAAACAATACAAAAAGCTTATAAAGTAAGAAATAGCATGAAGATAATGGATTTTTTACAAAAACGTGTCTTTACTATTTACATGGTTCGTTTAATGTCACATAAAAAATTGTTATTTGATGCTAATAACATTTTAGCATCTTGCTCCCTAAAATGAACACTGTCTCGATTGTTTAAAAATGCTTCCTGCATTTCGCGTAGATTCATTTCCAGTTGTTGGCGTAATTTCCGTTTATTTTCTCTGAGAACCTAAAAAATCAGTAAATAAATAAAAGATTTATTTAAGTTGATATAAAACAAACTATCATCATCATAATATAACAAATGTTTGAGCTACTACTATTGAAAATGTCGAATAGGTTTGTAAACAGCGATCGATTATAATCAGTTTTTCATTCTTAATTACAAGAAACTGAATAGAACGATAGTAGTGTGGAAGATTTTGCATTCTGCAGACTTGATGGTTTAATCATGAAGAAATTTGACTGTTGTACTGTCAATTCAATTCGGTTGTTTGTTTACTTTGAAAAAGTGGCTTACATTAGGTCACGAAAAGTCAGAAATACAATATTTCTACTCATTGGGATATAACAAAAAATATATTTATTATTAATTATCTACCCAATGCTCAGTTTATTAGAAACCATCATGTCCGACCCTAGCATTGATACCTATAATGGCTAAAGCGACTGAAAAACTTTTCTTAATAAGAGCTCAATAAACTTAAATGATCTCGTATAAATGAAAGTGTTCCATCACCTGATATACAGAGAAATAAAACCAACTTGTCATCAATACAGTCTAACGAATATTTCAATCATAACAATAGTGATTGTAAGCCAGTCAGTCAGCTACAACGTAGGACCAGGCACATATGTGCATCGGTCCAGGTTGCCATACCTCATTAGCACAGCAAGATGAACAGCGGATTCATAGGAGTGGTTAGGTCAAAGGTTGCAATAAGGATATAGTATAGGAAGAAAGAATTAGTTCGTAGACAGAAAGAATGAAGTGATTTTAATCTTTTAGTTTAAGGGAAGACAGGGAGTGTATACACCGACGCCATTTTGATCGATTCTGAGCAATGTCACCAAGAGTCTCCAACCATTGGTTACGAAAGTCACGCGGACCCCAACCAAGTAGTCTGCATCTAAAAACATGGCTCAGACTAGAAGTTAGTGACTTCAGGCACTGATGCAACGTTTTGGTTTGGCCGCCCCTAACTTTCTTCCAACCATCTCCAACACCGGTTAGCATTGCACGTCGTGGTAATCGGTGTTTAGGCATACGTAATACGTGGCCCAACCATCTCAGTCGATGAAGATTCATAACCTCATCAACTGATTTACCATCATTCCCTAATACCCTGCGTCTAACCTCACTATTACTTACCCGGTGATCCCAGCAGACGCCAGCAATATTTCTAAGGCATCTGTGGTCAAATACTAGTAACTTACGGGTGTCTTCTACTCTTAATGGCCATGTTTCGCTGCCGTAAATTAAAACAGAACGAACTGCCGCGCAGTATACTCGTCCTTTTATTGATAGACGGATATCTCGCTCTCGCCAAAGGTGACGTGAGTTGGCAAAAGCCAAACGAGCTTTTCGAATCCGTGCTGAGATTTCGTCAGACACCAACCCATTAGGGCTGATCAGACTTCCAAGATAAGTGAAGTTGTCAACGCTTTCGACTACTTCACTCCCTATCCTTAGCTCAGGTGTTGACCCAGACCAGTCCTGAAGCAACAACTTGCATTTAGAGGGAGAGAAGCGCATCCCAAACATTCTGGCATTGTTGCTTAGTGCTACCAGAAGACTCTGCATTTTGTCAGCGTCTTCACCAAACAGGACTATGTCATCTGCGTATTCTAAGTCGATAAGTGGACCTCCTGGAAGGAGATCAATACCCGAGAATCCAGTCGACGAAAGTGTTATTTCAATCAATAGGTCTATGATGAAGTTAAACAGAAATAAAGAAAGTGGACAGCCTTGACGGACACCACTTGAGGTTACGAAAGTAGATGACAGTTCGCCATAAGCCCTGACTCGACTAGTAGTGTTCGAGTAAAGAGCCTTCACAAGGTTTATGTACTTCTGAGGTACGCCTTTCAATGACAGACACTGCCACAGAGTCTCGCGGTCTACCGAGTCAAATGCTGCTTTTAAGTCAAGAAATACCACCATCGTCGGACGCCGATAGGTATGCCTGTGTTCTAGAACCTGACGAATGGTGAATATGTGGTCGATGCAGCCACGACCAGGTCTAAAGCCAGCTTGTTTCTCTCGAGTTTGTAGTTCACGAGTCTTAGTTAGACGTTTGATAATTATCGAGGCCAGTATTTTAGATACTATGTTTGTTAAACTAATCCCTCTGTGGTTGTCACAGTATGATTTTGACCCTTTCTTATATATTGGGACGATAAGTGATTGCGACCAGTCAGATGGGATAAAGTCTAATTTTCAGATCTTAGCTAAAATATTAGTCAACTTAATCGCTAAAATTGGACCACCATCCTTAAAGACCTCTGGAGCCAATCCATCTGGACCAGCTGCCCTTCCACGTTTCAGATTAACTATAGCCTTTTGAACTTCAGCAAGAGTCGGGGGACCTACTTCAATGTTCCATTCACACTGTCTGGGAATGGAGGGTAGATGTAGAGTAGCTGAAGGCCAGCTGAACTGTTCCCTAAAGTGTTCCGCCCATCGTTCTAGACGCCTGGACTTGGAGCAGATGAGTGTATCGTCTTTTTCCGATATAATCTCACTTACACTTGACTTATTAATTCCAGTTTCTTTTATTAGTCTGTAAAGCTGTTTTGTGTTCCCTATAGTCACCGCCTTTTCCATCTCTTTTGCTTTCGATGCCCACCACTGCTCGCGGTCGTTTCTTAGACTTTTTCTTAACCTAGATCTGATTTGTTTTCGCTCTTCATCATCTTCAGAACCTGATGGGACGAGTTTGCGAGAATCCATCAGTGTGACAGACCTTGAAGAAATCCACTGGTTCCTTGCAACTCTGTGGTTTAAGTCACTAATAGATGTCACTGCTGTTTCCACAGCTGATTGTATGCCCTTCCAAGCAACATCTGGGTCAGCCTCGTCTTCACAACTACCTAAGTGTGACCTCAGTTGTTCCTGGAACCTACTTTTGGTTTTCTCGTTACTCAATTCAGTTCTAACGGGTCTTTTTAATGTGGCTTTTTTTGCGTCCAGTGAGGCGCAAGCAGATGCGTGCCCGTATTAGGGCATGGTCGGAGTCCAAGCAGGTACTCCAGAATGAGCGACAATCTTCTACCGACCCTCTCCAACGATGACTGATGGCAATATGGTCTATTTGAGTCCATCGTTGGTTTGGTGTAGGGGGTCGCCAAGTTAGACGATGTCTCTCCTTATGCTTAAAATTTGTGTTTGCTAAAAATAAACGATTGTCTGAGCATAGCTGCAGCAGATGATCACCATTATCTGTTCGCTGTGTCGGAATACTAAAATATCCACCTAAATGCCTTTCTGTTTGGTTTAAACTGCCTATCTGAGCATTAAAATCACCTGCTACGAGTACTATGACTGAGCGTTTAGCTTTCTGAAGTTCGGACAGCTTTCTGTAAAATTCATCTTTCACATCATCTGAGCTGCAGTCAGTGGGAGCGTAGGCAGAAACGACAAAAAGTCAACGACGTATGTCCCTATCCTTCCGAGTTCTTACGGAGCCGTTCAGCCGAACATCACATAGACGACTGTTGACGGGGATCCACTCTAGCAGTGCTTGTTCGGCCCTCATGCTTAGTGCTATGCCTACACCTGCCAGTCCACGAGAACTTGCCATCGGGTCACCATATACACGGAGGGTGTACCTCGTTGGCTCTCCGTTTTGCCGAGGTGAGGTCAAGTGAATGACCACACTGGAATCCTGTATGCGTGTTTCCTTGACACAGCACAGGTCAATGGTAAGAGACTCTAGGGTTTTAGCCAAGGAAGCCTGCTGACCGATTTGACATAGGGTTCGTACGTTGAAGGCTCCAATGTGTAGTTTGGAGCGAGGTTTCAGTAGACCTGGGACAGTATTTTGCGCACTAGAATCGTTGGCTATGGTGACACTTGAGGTGGAAGCCAAGAGAGGAAATTTAAAGTTGAAAGTCGATGTAGGAGGAATAATAGGAATTGAAGAGGAAGGTTGATTATGAATACAGTGGTCTTGAGTGCTGTTAGAGGTATGAGGGCGGTTTTCACTTCCCGGTTGCCCACACCGTGGAAGGGTTGTTCTGGAGGTACCTGAAAAGGAATTTGGATTAAAGGTGGTCTTAGTGACCTGAGAGCGTGACCGCAGTGCCCAAGGGACAACTGCTTGAGGTCGGTCACACACGAACTTTTTATGGGTACTTTTTGTGTTAGCTCCTTACTTGTCGAGACCATACCGCTAGAGACGGATATCCGTGGGATAAGACGAGGTGTGCATTTTTAAAATCGACCTTTTCTAACCCCACCCCTCCTTGTGGGGAGGCAGCATCGCTGTCATGCTGGTTGTCTGAAGGAAACACCTTACTGCTGTCACACCTCTGTACAGTCAGCAGCACGACTTCGCCTTCGGACCTTGGGTTTGTTGCTTTTAGTCTTACCGCTCTTCAACCGACCTGTCTGACATGGTAGGACCTTGAGAAACGGTTGTTCCAGCCAGTATAGCTCGGTTGCTTCATCATGATAGGCAAGCCCGACCACTACGTCAAGGTACCAACAACGGTCGGGGACTGTAAGCCAGATCTACGATTGAATAAAACAACACACTTAGAACACAATGAACATCGTTTCACTATAGCGTATGGAAATAAGCATAATATTATATTTTTGAAAAATAATTAAGTTTCAGTCAAAATGTTCAGAAACAATACAAAAAGCTTATAAAGTAAGAAATAGCATGAAGATAATGGATTTTTTACAAAAACGTGTCTTTACTATTTACATGGTTCGTTTAATGTCACATAAAAAATTGTTATTTGATGCTAATAACATTTTAGCATCTTGCTCCCTAAAATGAACACTGTCTCGATTGTTTAAAAATGCTTCCTGCATTTCGCGTAGATTCATTTCCAGTTGTTGGCGTAATTTCCGTTTATTTTCTCTGAGAACCTAAAAAATCAGTAAATAAATAAAAGATTTATTTAAGTTGATATAAAACAAACTATCATCATCATAATATAACAAATGTTTGAGCTACTACTATTGAAAATGTCGAATAGGTTTGTAAACAGCGATCGATTATAATCAGTTTTTCATTCTTAATTACAAGAAACTGAATAGAACGATAGTAGTGTGGAAGATTTTGCATTCTGCAGACTTGATGGTTTAATCATGAAGAAATTTGACTGTTGTACTGTCAATTCAATTCGGTTGTTTGTTTACTTTGAAAAAGTGGCTTACATTAGGTCACGAAAAGTCAGAAATACAATATTTCTACTCATTGGGATATAACAAAAAATATATTTATTATTAATTATCTACCCAATGCTCAGTTTATTAGAAACCATCATGTCCGACCCTAGCATTGATACCTATAATGGCTAAAGCGACTGAAAAACTTTTCTTAATAAGAGCTCAATAAACTTAAATGATCTCGTATAAATGAAAGTGTTCCATCACCTGATATACAGAGAAATAAAACCAACTTGTCATCAATACAGTCTAACGAATATTTCAATCATAACAATAGTGATTGTAAGCCAGATCTACGATTGAATAAAACAACACACTTAGAACACAATGAACATCGTTTCACTATAGCGTATGGAAATAAGCATAATATTATATTTTTGAACAATAATTAAGTTTCAGTCAAAATGTTCAGAAACAATACAAAAAGCTTATAAAGTAAGAAATAGCATGAAGATAATGGATTTTTTATAAAAGCACTACCCCTCTTACAGTTGGTTATATCATACATATTAAATTACATGATAGACTAAGTATACATTTGAATTCAGGCGTACTTTTTGTTCTTCACGCATACGAATCGATTGTTCTTCTCTTTCTTTATTTATCTTTTCGTTCATTATTTCTAAGCGAATACGATGTCTGTGGTTTTCAAAGAGACATAAAATTGTCAAAAAAAAGTTAAATCAAAATAATCAAGTCTAGGATCAAAAGTGATAGTAACTTTTAAAGTAAATAAATAAATCCTCAATTATATTCATGAAAACGAATCCCCATAAAATAGCCCATCCAGTGATCTAAAATTAGGATACTCGTAGAAAGATCTGAAGGCCCTGAGTTAGATCTTAGGTGGCCGGGTCTTGGATATGCATTGCCAATCAGTCTCATACTAGGATGAAAAAGTTATCCAGTGTTTTTTTGTTTTTCAATGGTTATCTAATTAAGATCATTGTCTGATGTTACCTAGGAAATTTGTTTTATTATTGGAGTCTAACATAATCATTACCATCGAAGCAACATATCCTCTTGTTCCACAGTGTAGAAAAGTGACGATGACTACCAACAATCGTACGTGTTAATTTTTCATAAACCCTTGATACTTTAGCCATTTATGTTCAATGCATTGAAAAAATATCCCTAGTTTTTTAAATATTCCTATGAACGCATTCAAAATAGAAGTTGTGTGAAGTAGTTGTTGTGACCTTTGCTCTGTTAATTATCACGTGATATGTTTCCAACGGAACACCAACTTATATTAGCTTGGCACTGTGCCAAACCAATAACGCACAAACCAGTACGAGTAGCCTAGAGTCAACTCTGAGTTCTTATTAGTCCTCTGAAAAACTAGCTTATCGCCTAACATAGATGGTTCAGTCCAGAACACCAATGTCAACCTCCAGGATGTACACCAGACATACGCAGTTTAGATACAAGCAAATCAGACCTCATCATACCGTAAAATAGATTATAACAATCATACAACATCAGGCCAAAAGTGGCTGTGATTGTGAGACTGTAACTAATAAATTTGGGACTAACTTAAGAATAGTAAATCGTATAATAGAAGTCAATAGGTTAAATGCAAGCTTATAATAAAAAGAATATGAATATCAGTCAGTCAACTACAACGTGGGACCATGCACACATGTGCATCAGTCCAAGTTGCCATACCTAATTAACACAAGATGAACACCGGATTCATAGTAGTTAATTCAGCGTTGGTAATATATATGAATATACATATAATATTGTCACTTCATAGATATACAGTAAGAATATCTATATAATAACAATCCATAAATATATCCTAGCAATTACCATTCACTTATTCCTTGTTAGTATATAACAGTAATATTTATTTTAAATTAGTACCTTACCAACAGCTCTACACTGGTGATGTGTGGTAGTGAAAGTAAATTATAATTGGTCGTTGAGCGTAGACAAATATCCACAGCTCATAGACTATTAAATATGTGATTATCCTTCTTATCATTGATTTCTATTGTGTGTGACTGCTATTTTGGGTAGCGAAACCTGTTTCTGGTATAATGTGATTAGTCTTATTAACGTATCATCGTAATAAGCGTGTGAGAGGAAAAAATATTGTAAACCGCCCGTCATATCAACCGGTACGCAAATTTGATTAAGTATAAAATATATACCTAAAAAAAGTGGTATATCAATTCAGAAATATATCACTATATTTTTTCTAAAGATAGTTAGTCACAGTCACTTACTCAATGGATGTAAAATTAATGTTAAAACAAAATTACATAAATACTCAACCAATAATGCAAGTTCATTTTATCTTTATGTTTGTTCAGCACCAAACTGCTTGTTACCTTTAGAGAAAATATTGAGATAAACTTTCAAATTGATACACCATCATTTATTTGACATTGATTTATAATTCATTAAGAAATCTACATATTAGTGTACATCTAGGATGAGGAACTAATTGGAAAGAAATACTTCTTTGATAAGCTTGAGCTTTGAAATAAATGAAGATATCTTATATCTTATAATTAATAAGCATAAGTATCTTAGTAATCAACCTTGAAATATGACTAACAACTAATATCATAAACTTTAAACTGAGTTGAAAATAAAAATATGCTAGTACTCATGTTCTAACGATTCCATGATTTTCCTTTTTTGTTCTTCTTTCTGGAGATTTTCTTCACGTTCTAGTTTTTTTACTTCGAGAAAATATTCTTTTTGCTTTTGAATCAGTTGCTGAAAAAACTGTCGAAATATCTGAAATAAAAATTGAAAATCAACATAAATTAACATGAAAGATTTAGTGTGTTGTATGCTAATTATGTCAATAGACGTAAGCAGTATATAACAACAATTGCAAGTGGAAAACCTGGCAGAAGATCGAGTTGAAGACAACAGAAAGGAATTGTGAACTGGAAGAATCACGCATAATGTGAAGGACAAATGATGGAAAATTACTAATGAAGTATTCAGTGTATGGTTCCTATACATTATCAAGAAATTCTGTAATTACGTATTTGGATGCGACTGGTTGTCCCAGCCTGTGTTCTTGTTCATTATAGGAGAATATGAAATATTGATTCTATTACTAGGCAACAAAAAATATAGGATATTTTCTAAGCTTTTCAGTGTGAGTGAACTTTATAATTTGCAAGACTTTGATTTGTGGAAAAAGCCCAATACATATGTGGTAGGTTGATTTGACAGAAATAGCCGATGTTATTTACTTGTATTTCAAAACAACTGTGTAGCATAAGTTTATTTTACTGATAATAAAATTACTGATGTAACGATTTAGTTATTTCAAGAGAAGCGGTTGACTATTTAAAGCACTTGATCGTCAACTAATTAGATGAAGACTCAAATCACATTTGAATTAATTGAATTTGAACAACTTGGTAGTATCATTACATCTAAAATAACGAAATTGTCTCTCAAAGCTAGGTACATGAACTGGTACTTGGTAAATGTATTATAACATGAATTTTTTACTGGTTCAGAGTAATCGGAACCGTATAAAATTAATTTGAAACTTATAAAATGTGTTAAATTACTACTATTATTATAGTATTTATAGACTAATTAGTTCCTGGATCTCGAAATTTTATATATTTTCTTTCTTAATGCGACTAACACTGCTATTACTTCAACTACTTTAGGGTTCTGCTTGGTAATTTCATATCTCTGTGTTAATATGGTATGGTAACTTAAACAAATGCGCATATGCGCCAGAGGGTCAACGTGCATATGACTAACTGAATGAGTTGGACGGAACACAACTAATACACTTCAGCTGGGAGAATTGTAGAGAATAATATGCAGAGACAATCAGAAGTAGCCTAATGAGAAGGTTCATAGATGGCGAGCAGGAGTAACCTAAAGGACATGTGCATTTCATTGACTACGAAATAGATCAATATCCTAAGGATTAGAGTGGTATATATATGAATGAGTATTTGTGCATTTTATTCGGTAGTCCAATACACTTTCCCGCTCACAATTATGTTCTCGCCCAAGTAGTCAGTTGGGAGGTTAGCGCGTAGCACACCATGTATCAGTGTATCAGATCTCGCACACCACATGTCACAAAAGCATCCATCATTTTTAAAATTATCCAGCACAGCTCGTTAGGACCCTACATTTGGTGCTTTGAAGTGTTAATTTATAAACGGAAGGTGGATGAACATCAACGAAATACTTCATAGTGTTTTATTCATGTTTATTATTGCTTACGTTGATTGTCCGTTAATCTTTCACTACTCTCAATACCAGTTTTGCAAATCGTCTTTCTAAAACCAACTTCTGTGATAATTTTAAATATTTGAAGCCGTTACTGTTATTCTCGTTTTCTGCCACCACTCATCCACTATTAGTCATATCCATTGTATAGTCTTAGTCAACTGGTTTTCAATATTGCTTCAATACACGGATTTGAGTGACACAGGGATAGATAATTGAGAAAACGATAACACTTACCTGAACGAGCTGACTTGAGAATTATGAATGAATTAAGTCATCTGATAAATCCCAGAACTTGTGGAATGACTTTAAATAAATTTTAGTTGACTTAGAATTATTACTAAGATGGTGTATGAAATTAAGCTGTAAAGAAACTACGTCTTATTGACTTCTGTAACTACCTTTTCATCAGTATTAACCTTGGCAATTTTTTTCAGACGGAATTCACGGACAAATTCGTCGAAATATTTCCGAGCTCTAATTAATTGGAATTTTCTCTCTCTCGCTTCTCCCCGGATACGCCTCTCGACGGTTTCGCTTGCTCTTTGTTTTCTGAGGTTTTCAATTTGACGATCATAATGAACTAACTGTGCAAGACGACGTCTCTGTCTTTCCTCAATATTTTGTGAATGAGATTCAGGAACATGTATGGGAGATAGACCAGAAGAGGGATTGCTTGAAAGCTGTCTCATTACGCTTACTTTGCGTTTGAAAAGGAAATAATTTAAAAAATTGTAAGTTCAAAATCACGAAAGTACTATGGCAGTAGTAATAGTATTAGTAGAAAAATACAGATTTTTGCTGCACTTTAAACTTAAGATTATAGAAATCAAATAGTAGTACTGAAATAGATGCAAACCAAGTGAATGTTAAAAGGAGCTTTTACTACTTGAGGTGACGTAAACACGAGTGAAAAATTATTATCTAAATAACCCTAAACATGCAAATTATAAAACAATTTATCACAGGTATTAAAAGAATCTCAGTGACCAATTTACGAAAGAAAGTTGAAAATAAGCGTGGTTGGTATTTTTTGGAGCACGATGTCGAGTAATAAAGGAAGGTAGTAAAATAAGTAGTAATTACGATTCTTAGAACGACATTAACACACTTGAAATATAAAATTTCCATAAGAACTAATGTATTACTAACTAGAATTCTGGAAAAAATTATAAGTGATGAACTTTCCAACTACTTACTTGCTGGAAAATTTATCAATGATACTCAACATGGATTTCTTAAAAATCGATCTTGCATGACATGTCATTTGGACTTCTTTAATTTAGTCTATTCTCTACGTAGCCAAGGATATCTAGTCTTAGTACTATATCTGGACATTTCTAAAGTCTTTGACATGGTTAGCCAACAACTTCTTATAGGTAAACTCGCATCTTATGAGGTTCAAAATCCCTTACTGGTTCGGTTTGATTCCTTTATCAGCGATCAACATCAAATAGTTAAAATTAACTCTTCATTGTCTAACGCTGTCCCTGTTAGAAGTGGTGTAATACAAGGTATTGTCTTAGGCCCTTTGCCCTTTTTAGTGTTTATCAATGATATTTGTGAAAGTTTTTGTGTCCGTAAGCCCCTTCTATACGCAGATGATCTTAAAGTAGTATATTAATTTTCTCCACATGAGCTGAAAAATATGCAAAATTGCATCAGCATGGAGCTTAACAAGGTAGCACAGTGGTGCTTAAAATGGCAACTGGAGCTTAATACGGTTAAATGTGGATGGATATGCTTCGGCGATACATCACTCAACCTAGACCTTACCATAAATGGGGAAGTGTTATCTAGGTTACATACAGTAGTAGACTTAGGACTTAGATATTCCCAAGACCTGTCGTTTACAGAACAGATATTGAAGCAGACCTCTAAGTCTCAACGTCTAATAGGTTACATAACTCGAAATCTTTACAACACTGAGTCATGTATTTTAATGTACAAAGTTTGTGTCCGACCACTTCTAGAATATTGCACGTTTATTGTTAGCAGTGCGCACATAAAGGATAAATTAAGGCTGGAATCGGTACATGGACGATTTACACTTCGTATTCTTGGAGCTGATTGTACCTTAACTTATAATTCTAGATGTGATAAACTTGGGCTAGACCCTTTATGGAAGACGAGACCCAATCTAAATCTTATCTTTTTCTTCAAGCTACTTAATAAACTATCCTTTACATCCAATCACGTGATTCAATATGCAGAAACTTCTCATTATGACATCCGTAATTCCGTGGCACTAGTGAAACAAACTTATTCTAAATCATCTCTTTATATGAATTACTTCACCTGTAAATTTTCTAGACTCTGGAATAACCTACCACAATCTATCCATACGATAAAACCACTCCCATTATTTTTTCTCTGTATCGATCCATTGAATGTTCTAGCACCTGTAAGTGTATCTCATTCCACAAGTGATATTATAGGAACTTTAAATGTTTAGCCATTTTAGTGCACTTACTTGCCGTCGCTTTACGTCAACACCGACCTTAGCAACTTTAACTAATTTGAATAATATCTAACAACAGTATATCGCTGTGTCACATACATTTTGTTAGACCTGATTGACATTTTGGTAATTACTGATTTGTTGTTCCGTGCTCTCTGTTCTCGTTTTACTTTCTGTAGTTGTAGATAATTATCATTAATTCGATCTGGCACAGGAAATGACCTTAATTACATCGTTCATAAATCAACAGGCTGTCCATTTGAGAAGTATAAAAAGTTCCCGACTGATGCATTGGATCGCTGTAATATATGTACTACCTAAACAATTACTGTACCAGTATACTTAAAACTTTTTTCTATCACATGTTTGTTCCGTACATCTAATGTTACTATTTATATCAAATTGATCATGCCTCTAAACTGGCGTGAATTCTGTAATTATTTTCAGAATATATAAAATTATTATTTTGAATATCGGCATTTAGATTGTATTGGTTTTGCTTCGTTAATTAATCACCTTTGTAACCGTTATTATATAAGTCCCATGGTGTTTGATATCAGAAAGCAATAAGAAGCGGTAACTACAGATTATTAGCGGATAGCACAGATCACAAAGCTATAAGCACATCAACTGTATATGAAGCAGAGAGATAAATATGTGCGTGCGAGCCGATACGAAGACAAATTTATAGCCAAATCGAATAAGGGCACAGCAAGGCAAAACAAAGGCTAATAATAGGATTTGAGTGCATATATACATGGGGAAGAGAATGAATCACCAAGTGATATTTAAGCGATCAACATTTCAGCTAAAGTCTGTCATGTGATCAAGCGTATAAGTCTATACAGATATGGTAGTGATCATAATAACACAAAGAAAGATGGGAATTGTTACTATTCGAATAGCATTGTTTGTTAAGTTAATAAAAGGGCATAATCAAAATTAACCATAACCGAATTTGATTGTAGGGGAGTTTCTATAAAACCAATCGAAAATTTACCATTCTTTCTTAAGTCAAAAAAGTCATTTCTAATCTCTGTCAAAGTCTAAAGATTTTGTGATGTGAACAGGGAAACAAGAAGCTCTGACAAACTATGAAACCTATTTTTCGGGACGTTATTTCATTTTATTCAAAGCTTGTAAAACATTGACATTTATTTTTGTCCCTAATCTATTCTACAGAACATGAGCTTTCGTTCGATGTATCATTTATTGCCATACCCTTTTTTGTTCCGAAGCCATTGTAATTTAAACATAATATTTTCCACCTTATTTTCTACTCTAATACCCAGTTTTGTGCATACTCGTATTTTTCCAAATTATTGTACGTTGTGGTCGGGTTAATCACCTATTTATTCATGTACCTTTTTGCACTAGTCTGAATTCAGAGAATTCACGGGAAGTCAGTATATCGGAATAGAGCGAATAGTGTTCCGATTGTCTTGTCTTCTTTCGTTACCGTGCTTGTCAGCCAATCAGGTAACAGAATAGTTTTCTTCTCTCTACTTCGCCTCGAACTCACGCGTACTGGCCTCAAGGTTAAACCGACCAGCCTATTGCGTCAAGGTCTTAATCTAGAGTACACAGATCAAGGTCATAACATTTTGATAACCAGTATCAAATATATTTGTATTTCATGAAACGCTAAACTGAAACCAGTGTTTGGTAATTCCTGACTGAGCTTACAGAAATCTTCAGAGGATTGTAAAGCCTACAGACATGAGGATTCCGGCTATGAAATCAGCATCCAAAGGTATTTTTATCTATTGAACTAAGGAAAAATTAGACATTTCACTCAACCGTTGAGTTTCCTTAGTGTTGAAGTGGTTCGAACTGCAGTTCAATTTGATTGAAATAATTCAGGTCAAATTCATTGGAACTTCATAAAACGTAGGGATTATAATCTTTTGAATGAAATCGAACCAATGACCTTTATACCTTGAAAAAATCTTTCAGGAGATCAAATCTAATTATCAAGAGTTTACTAAATTTGTGTTGAGAGCATTAATGTGACCAATTATTTTTCCACTTGTTTATATGACATAAATAAAGAGCCAAGAAATAGGAGCACGGGAAGTGAATTGATAACGCTGCGAAGGGACAGCAAGGTTACACAATCAACTAACTAATAAGGAGATTATTTATCAAAAGAAAATAACCGAGGTTAATTTCGCCCAGGTATAGGATTCATTTTACTTACACAAAGAGTTCAAGTAAATTATTAAGCCACCAAGTTCCATGACACGCACGACTCCAGCCAGAAATTCGGGATGGGCAGAAGACACTAATGCTATATATGTTTATATTTTGTGAACAAACTTATCCTCTGAGTTTCGTACCCAGTTATGTAATCATCAAATAATGAGCAGTTTAAAACCCACTAGGATGACGTACAGGATGTTTAAACAGTAGAAGCTGTTATATCCTAGTGGATATTAAATTACAGGTGACTTCTGAGGACTATTAATGGACTAATATCCTTATAGTAAAATTATTCAATAGTTAGATTATGTATATTTATATCCCTCTTATTATAAGCTTCATTTTGACCTATAATCTATTATTATGCGATTTACTGTCCCTAAATTATGCTCAGTTTGTTAACTACTGCCTCCCACGTTCACAGCTACTTTTTGGCTTTATTGTGTACAAATGATATTTCCTATTTCATGGTGCGTTGCGGTTTATTTGTTTGATATATAAACACAGTATGTTTGAAATATATGATTCGCATATTGGAAGCTGGTATTGTTGTTCTGGACTCAAATGGACGGGCTAGGCTGACATAGGATCAATAAGGACGCTAGGCTGCTCATACCGGTCGAACGTCATTGGTTTTGGCACAGTGCTACGATTGTATAAGTCGTATTTTGGTTTGGTGGATAAATCACGTGATAAAAAGCCTGACATAAAGTCATAACAGAAGCCAGTGTTTCAAGATAGTAACATCGTGCAATTAGTTCCCTTTATTTAAATTGTAACATTGATTGAACTGCCATTACTGTACCATACCTCGAACGTGAGAAATCCCTCAGAGACTACGATGGCCAAACACAAGCACTTACCGAAAATTCCCAACTTCAAGAATCCAGGGTTCAGATGTATATTTTATTTGCGTACTCTATCTCTGTGAGAGTGGTTCTAGGTAAGAGTTGCGGTGGTCATCATTAGGAGAACATCCATGACGAAAGTAAACTAAAAGGGGAAGAATGCGCAGTCTTGACGGATACCATTTGGAGTAAACGATTACAATGACACTTCTGTAAATTGAACTTGAATTAACAGTGACCAAGTAAGGGCTCTCCTGTAAGTTTATTTAGTCATTTAGTATCCCCTATAAAAATAAACTATCAAAAACCTGTAAATCAGTAAGGTCAAATGAGGGAAAATGACTATCATTGTGTCATCAAGTATGCTTAGGCTTCGAAGTCAGTCGGTCACAACGTAGGACCATGCACATTTATGCATCGGTTCAAGTTGTCATACCTCATTAGCACAACAAGATGAGCACTCAAGACCACTCTTAAGCTTCAAAACCTGAGAAGAATAAGGATTCAACCCAAAAACTGCTTGATATTTTTACGTTCGCTTTTTTCCAAGCTCCACTTGCGCCTTTAATGACTACAAAAGCTAATATTTTAAGGATTATATTAGTATAAGATCGATAAATATGTCAGATAGATAGCGAGAACACTCTAATAAGCCATCGACTACGTATTAGCCTGTTTGGAGCACATAAACCTAATTATAATCAATAAGGTATACAATGACTAAGATGACAAATACTTATGCATATTGTCTTATGTCATTCCAAAAATTTCATTTCCTCAAGCAAATATGAACGCCTCAGACATACGACACTTTAAAATAAATTGTGGTTCAATAATACAGAAAATAAAATTATGATACTAAGGCTAACTAGTGAAGTAATACCAGTTATCTGAACTCATTGTTTTAAAAAATTGCTTAGTGTAACACGTTCAACTCACCTCTCCCTATGACAGTGATTAGTAAGTTTCATTCGAATAGTTATTCATTAAAAATTCATATGGAATCCTGATACTTACTACAAAAACTATTTCATTGAACAGTTAACAAGACGCTGTTTTATCATGACTAAGTGAGAATTTACTATTATCAATAGATATAAATCTCATCAGTGAAAACCTGTCTTCAAAAAATTCAACTTACATGCCTTTTTGCGCAAAATCCGCTCCTCATGTTCATCCAAATCTATTTTAGGAAATCCACTTAATAATTTATAAAACGATTGATTGGACAGGTCTTCATTTTCTTTAGTAGGACTGACAAGGTATGGTACAGTTGAATGCTTATCGGCATAAATATGCAATGTATCCACTAAAGGTTTGGCATGTAATTTAAGTACACTTTTGCAGCTGCAGTTACAATTGTCAGAAGAAGCACGTTTTAACTGAGATTACATTTTAGGAAGGAATAAAACAAACTCTGATAATGGATTTAAATAAATTTATGGTGAATAAAGCTTTAAACAAATATAAGTGCTGCACAGGTTCTCTCATACCACCAGCTAGAATGATGTACTTATCTCTGCCACCCAGGTTTTAAAACAACTAGTATGAACCTCCTAACTTTAAGAGGTTAGATGTGAGCAGGTATTAATTCGGATCTCATGAATACAATTATTTCGGGACTTAGAACTTATTACCATGTATTGCTTTTATTTAAATACAAGCACAAAAAGTGATAGACAACTAATCTGGTACATGGTTACTTTTTCTGTTTAGTTTGACAGAAAACTTTAGTGCCTAAACCTCAGTGTTGATTAGATTGACAAATGAGTACTCTGATCCTGAGTCAGTTTTATATTGTCAGAGAAAGCTTGTTTATCTTATTGTCATGTTTGTACTCAGTTTTTAAGTCCAGACGTCATTGTTTATCCATATCAAAATAGAAAGCTTATTAACGATTTCGTTGTCCAGATTGTTAGACTGGTTATATTTCAAAAATCGATTTCTACTTACACTCAGTGGCAGGTTGTGGAATGTATGTAGTTGCCAAAGCGCATTACATGTGTCAAAGATAAAGCGGAAATTTAGTATCACTTCCGTGCATTGAAAACCACTTAAGTCATTTCTCCGACAAGAAGTTAGTACATTTTAAAAGGTTTCAGGTTTAGTGATATAGTATCAATTTATGAAATTACAAAGTGAAAATGACACCGATTGGTTATCATTGAAATGTATATTTTCTTAGATTACAACACTAATATTTCACCTAGTGGTTATACGGTTGAAATTATTTGAAATAGTATATGAATGGCCTGAAATTATGATTATATGAAGCGATTAATCTTCAAATAATCACTTTTAGATTGATAAAAACCTAACATAGCAAAGATTATTATAAATTGTCTGAATGACTTGTGGAAGCTAGTCTAATTTAAGGGTATCTTTAGTCACAAACTGACGTATACCAAACAGCAGCCTGAAACTAAAGAAGACCAAATACGTTTCCCTGCTCTGTCTGGAACTTGTTAGCCGTACCTATAAACTCACCAGGGATGACACGTAGCATCCAAGCCACTGTATTAGAATCCAGTGATCCACCTTTTGGACTTCAACTAATCCATGATTTAACGTAACAGTCATTTGATGTCATTGGCAAAAAACTGCCTCACTTCAGACCTAGATGGGACCCTCCAGCCAGTTCTTTCGTAACAAGTTAGCAATAAATACAATTGCTAAATAATCTGGTGGATTGCAGGTATTATTTTGATTTAAGGACGAGTCCTGTTCTTAGTGAAGTTAAGGGGGCACAGTGATGATAGGCAGCAGAACAGCTTTTCAGTGTACCTTGTTTCCCAAGCTCACTTCATTTCATAACTGAAACTATTTCAAACTGTATCAATTTTTCGATAAACTAATAGTCAGTAATCATTGACCTGAAATAATTTTAGTGGGGCCCTTTTATTTGCCGTCATTTTGACCGAACGATGTTCGTTGAAGGGCTCACCAATTTAGTGGCCCGTGGATCTGACTCCTATTTAGATGGTACGAATGATTGTTATCGCCTATTCTCGTATATAATCGTCGACTTAAATCGCATTAGCCAATAACGGAATTAAATAAGTCGAATAACGAGAATTGATTTGTGCATACATATATTTTTGTATATGAAGCGAATGAAACAGAGCGAAGCAAAATGACACGCAGGGAAGATGGCTGGGAAGCCAACTCCATTTTAGTCAAGCGTTACTCAATATTTATAGTCAGACAAAAATAAAGCTACAGACATGTGATTAATGGGATAAGAAGGGCACACACATATACGCTTATATAAAAACAGTCTGGATTGATAAGCGAATAAATAACAAGGTCAAAGTATGGCTCAAGTAGAATGAATAAAATGGGATGTCCGAAAGCTAGAATAAGATATATGGGCTTAAAATAATGACTGACACTACACAATAAATAAAGGCTGTATGTTCAGAGAACCAAAATTTTCTATGTGGTGTTGTATTGAGCTTTTTTTAATTTTAAAACTAACATAATTTGCATGGCAGTAACTAAAATATAAAAGCCTGATTGACTTAATATTTCATTTTTACACAAATTTGTTGCAAAACCGTACAACGCATTGACCGGAACTTAAAAAAAATCCAGCGAATCTACCTGTTGAGTACGAAATGAGTTTGACCGAGTTAGTACAGACACACCATCACTTTCTGAACTATTTTCGTCAAGCGGGATACTAGATAAACATGTCTTAAGTTTTTCTTGAAGATAAGCCAACCTAGCGCTACTACCTTCTGTAGTTCTATCCATATTTTGTAATTTAGACTCCATGTTATCGTGTGATCGTGATTCAAAGTTGTTTTGTGATTCCTGAAGTAGAATCGGCGAGGACTTTTGATGAGAGTATAAGTTACGAAGTTTTTCAAGTTTACATGACACGTTTCCATACAATTCATCTGGATTTCTGAATAAATCAAGACGAAAATAATAACTAGTAAATGGCCAGTTTATTATAAGTCACTAATCAACAAGCATAGGTTAATGAAAGATCATATTATTTGAAAAAAAACTTTATACGGTGCCTGCACTATGGTAACTAGATCCCCTTTGTAGTCGCAAGCACAGATGAAAAGAGGAGAGTTATGACCCCAACGTCGTAAAAAAACTACGTTAAAAATCGCCAACCAGAAAAAACAAATTAATTCCTATCCTGCGAGTTGAATAGTCTTCATATGTAAGATTTATGTCACCTAATTGGTATACCAAATAGAGATCTTCACCAACTGGTTTCTGACGATAAACTCAATACCTCTTTTTTAAAGAACATATAGATAAATTATAACTTGCTTTGTGTTATCCAGGCCGAATTTCAGTCGACTTTACTTAATATATAACACAAAATAAAGCAGTCAGACTGAAACATCTGCGGGCAGATATATCTTGGCATAACAATATTACAACTGGGATTAAACGTGTCGAGTAATTTATGGATAATATTGGTACGAGTGATACACGTGCGTTTATTCTTTCCAAGTATCCATAATTTCACTACTCTTAGTCTTTTTTCTCCTCTTTTCCGTTTATTTTGACATACTTTTTCTCATGATCCTTCCAAGTGTATTGCAACGTATAACAAATAAAACCCATAAACGTTTGTCATTATACTAATATTACCTAAAGTTTGTTTAGATAGAATATATCTAAGTACTCATGAATTCTATTCATATGTCACCATTAGATCGTTTAAAATTAACACTGACAACCTTTTGCCTTGTAAGATGGATAAATGGGGTCGATAATCAGGAGTGGATTCAAGAATCCTGTAAACTTAAGCGACTAAAGAAGGAAAATATTTGAAACTAATCCAGACAAGTTATTGATTCCTACCGTAAAAATATCTAAAATTCGAACGTTTTGTTATTTTAAAGATACTTCCTAACTATTTTTATTGTGGAGTAAAATTAAGTATTCTGCCATAGAATTTACTACTCTCAAAAGTATTGTTGAGTATATAAGATAGAACTAGACGTTTATTGGCAAGAAACACGAGTTATCTCTGAATAAACTGCACAGATACGTAGAATTAATTAAGTTTAGAAGTTATGTATGGTAATAAGAATTGGGGGAACAATATAGATCTGAAAGTTCATCAAATTATGGGCAGATCCCTTGGGTAAAGAAAGTTTCATCGCCCCAATTTTCTTTATCCTTATCTGATTTATCCAATTACAAAATGAAACATTAAGTAACATACTGTAACATCATAAGATGTACTAATCGAAAATATAATGGAAATATGTCACAGTCTCGGGTGCAGTAAACATTTTTCTACTTCGACTGAGTGTGAATCATACTTACTTTCCATTAAATTAGACGGCACATCTGCATACACTAATTTGTCTTAAGTAATGTGGATTTATTTATTTAAACACATAAACATTGGTATAGGGATGCACCAAATAAATATGGGCCACATAAATCATTCGATTTGTGAGGGCTGGATACTGCCTGGGTGCCCAAACTAAAGCACGTGGTTTCCTTAGGGACCACTCTTGGAACCTTCGACTTAAAAGGTATAATCCATAAGGCAGTGGAGCAACGTCAGGAGATACAGTCACATGGTAGTCGGTGACCAACAATTGGTTCGCACGCCATTTGTTCCTTCAGGATCCTGAAGCTCATCTTCTCCAATTGTTTGGAATCAGGGTTATCCGGCTCCACTAGGTGAACCCTACGTGTCCACCAACCCGGTTAAAGCGCTGGACATCCGCTTCTCATCCTCTCAATTCCGTAAACACCGCCGCGAGAAGGCAGTGAGTAGGACTTTCCTGGCAGTGGTTGTATGCACACAGCCATATGAGAGCGTTTTGAGCTGACTATCTTCACTCTCGGCCGTACCAGGGAATTTGAGAGCCATGATATATATATATATATATATATATTTAAGTCCAAGTTACCACACCAGAACCTTACAGGTAGTGTTTTACGGGGACAGAAAGACGTAGGTGACTGTACATGATCGTTTTAAAAAAGCAACATACCACTGCAAAGCTGGGTTAAAACGTTTACTATCACGATCTCCTGACACACCATACATAAAATTCGATTGAAACAATTTCGAGATAAAATTCATCTGTATTAGACTGAATTATTTCCAGATTTTATGTACTGATTTAGTTTTCCGAACCCGTCACGTAAAGAGAAATTAAAGTATGTAAACTTCCACGTCGTGTAATGAAACATACTACCTCAAATAAGGAGGTGTGTTAGCATGTTCTCTCTGAATTTTCTACTGAGTGAGTAGCAGACAGAACTTATTTTGATGATATCTAGTCTTAAATACCAGTAAAACGTTTTTGACGACAGACCAGACTTGGATGTTTGGTTGTTACATCTGATAAATTCCCAATCTCCACATTTTTAGGAAACTTTGGGTAAATGTTGAAGTATCCCCCAAGTTTGATGTGGAAAAACTCCAAAGTGTTATAAAATTCTGGGGGAATATTGGGCTTTCCCCAATATTTCTATTGCGGTTTCACCGAATTATACCCAGAACGGACAAACTTTCCCCCAAAACAAGGAGATTAGGCTTTGGATCTTTACAACACGATAATGACCTTAAATTTGTATATGTGAGCCTTTATGATGAACTAGACTTACAGCCTTTTGTTATGGATTTCTTCTGCCATTCTAAAGTCTTTCTGAACAACAGTATTTTGTGCCAATAGATCAATTAGTTCAAGAAGACTATATAAAACATTGGGATCGAATATGCGTAACTGTCTTATGGATATATAACCAAGCGAACTGCCTATCAATCTAGATAATGACTGCAGCAGGTAACCCCATCGAGGTTTATGATCTAAAGTAGCTACAAGTCATTAAAAACATAGTGAAACACCCTTGCCATCGTTTTTGAAGTCACTAATCTTCTCTAGTATCGATTCGAAAAACTCTATGTTGACGTCAGATATATTTTTCGGTGCACTTAGTCCAACAGTTGAAGCCAGTTGGGAAGCAAAAGATATTACACCAGCGATCCGCTCCTGCCTAGGCGACATGCGAAAACAAACTTGAAATGCCTCAGTATCAAATTGATAAGTACTAATTGATCCAAACAAATACAAAATGAATACATGATAAAGGTGTCTGATATTGAGTCGGAGGCAACATTTCAGTGAATGATTCTGTCGCTAACTTCCTTTCTTAGGAGATATCACCAGATTCAGGCAGTGACTACTACTACAGCTGATGTGTTGTTTCAAACGTATACGATTCATTTTCGGGCTTTGACGACAGAAGGCCTACAACCTGTGTCCATCTGTTTTTAGTAGGCCCCTAAAAGTATCTGTTATTCTCTTAGGTGAATAAATCGATGATGCGAACACCACTTTCTCGAAGTTATATTTGAAAGTCTATCGATAGCACGAGAAGTGTTTGATCTGAGTTGGCGAACGGTTGTAGAATATTCTTGGCACGGAGTACCCACTTGTGGTCTGGTGCGCATCGGGTCCTTACCATCACCCTTAAATCCGAACACGGGAAAACTTGGAAAATAGATATTCAACATTTAGCACTAAGAGAAATTCAGTAATGGTGGTCGCGTTAAAATTCATTGGAAAATAAATTAATTAAATGTCATGACTAAACCTTGTAGATGTGGTCATTCCTGTTTATTTTTTATCCGTAATAAATATATTGTTCTACCTCCAATCTAAATCTGTTCTTCACCATACACTGGTGAATGTTAAATTACGTTTAGACAATGATGTGACTTCCACGTAAGATATTATAGATTAGGTAGGTACATCACGAAAAATCCTAGTTTCAGGGCTACGTCTACTATTAGAGCTGTACTAATGACGAAGTAGACCATAGTTCAACAAGCCTGCTTGTGTGATAGTTTAGATCCATATTCGTCGAAGATGATGGATCCATGAATTCTCCTGGAGGTCGGAGTGTCGTTCCGTAAAGCATTTGTGCTGTAGTGCATCCAATGTCAGCTTTCAGTGCAAATACCGAGTATAACTAGTGGAAGAGAGTCTATCCACTGTGTAACATTTGTGGCCGAGGGTGGATCTTTAGTCTGTCAGTAAAAGCGCTCTACCAACCCATTTGCTTGTGGGTGGTACGCAGTCTTTAAGTAGATCATGTGAATATCAATAGTGTAGTCAGATAACGGAAACGTCTAGATGCGAACTGACGTTCACTGTCTGTAGTGGTAGTTAAAGGGCAGCCAAATTTTGCTACCCACCACTTGACGAAGGCGTTGGCCACTGTTTCAGCAGTAATGCCCTTGATGGGTACTGCTTCTGACAATCAAGCGAAACTGTCTATCCAAGTCGGGAGATAATGGTATCCATTTGAATATGCACAGAGTCCCACCAAATAAAAATACCGTATAGAACAATACATGGCTAGGTGTTCCTTACCAAAGGCACTATACTATTCGGTGTCTAGAAACCGCCTCGAATAGAATGTCAAAGATGCCAGAGGTGGTTAACACACTTTTTCCATCATTATTTTCCATTTCATTTTCGCTTCTATTTGACGATAAATACATAGTCGTTTATTCATGTTCTGTGTTTATAAACACGCCTACTAAACTATTTGCGCATTCCACGTCTCCTTTATTTCTATTCCCTTATTTTTTCCCTTTCCTTCTTTAAACTCAGTTCAATATTCGTCTCAATTACACAAAACCTGATTTATTATTATTATTCTATTATTATTACTAACTTTTTCAAATCTGGCAAATATATTATTGCATTTTTGAAGAAACACGAAATGGTGTCTTCACAACACTTATGTACCAATAAGGTTTTTGTGAATAACAATAATAATAGTTTTAATACTCCTTCTTTTTCTGATGTAGATGCGTCTACTGCGTTAACAATGGGTACCCGAGCGTTCTGATGTGCAAGCATTGTTGCTTTTGCGATAAATTCTTGAAATTCTAGAGGATGCTTTTCTCGCAGTATCGTCCAAATCGGTGTGTTTCGCAATTCCGCAAAGTTTGGACGCGCAGTTTTTCATGAACCGTGTATAGAAACTTATAAGACCGTTTAACATGCATGATTGCATAATTGTCATCGGTTCTGGGTAATCCAGAATGGCAATCTTTTTGTTTCTCAGAGGTCGGATGCCTTCAGAATCAATAGTGTCCGAGGAAATCTAGGGAATCGATTCCGATTTCGCATTTCTGAATGTTCACAGTAATGCATTGCTTTCGTCGTCGTTCGTAAACAAGATCCAGATGCTGGAGGTGAGATTCATTGTACGGACGTGCAATCATGCAGTCATCAGCATATGCATGTTCGAAGTTGAAACCTCGAAAAACACAATCTACGAACATTTAGAAGTTTTGAGAACCTTTTTTTAGGCATGCACAAAACTCATATAGGCCGAGATGTGTGATGATAAGAGTGTTACAAATGTCGTCAGAAACCATGTGGAATTTGTTTGTGTGCTTTAAACAACTCGATTTTCGAAAAAAGCAGCTGTACTTTTCAAGGTAACTGTCAAATCGCGAACGTCGAGCAACAGGTAACGATCGGGAATGGTTTTCGCATCCAGTCGCCGATAGTCACCAGCTCGACGCCAGTAGCCGTCGCCCATGCGCAAGGGCTGTTTGGTGGCCGAACGACTTCTAGGTCCATCATGTTATCGAATTTGTTTTTAGCCAACCTCAGCTTTTTGGGAGCCAGTAGGCGCGCTTTTGATAATACAGATGGTTCTGTAGTGATGATATGATGTGCAACAGTGCTGGGTACGCACGGCAATTTAGGTTGCGTTTGATATATTTCAGAGCACTTATCGAGTAATTTTTAGTAGAATGGATCTGTCGTTCGCCTAACTGTGACGGGAGATAATCTTAGACCGGAAAAAGAAGTTACTCGAACAGATAAATTAGGGTTTTGTTGGGATACTCAGAAGAATATCCCAGAAACAATTATCCGGTTAAGTCTAACGCTACCCTTGAACGTTAAATGGTGTCATTTCCCTATTGGTCGTTTCCCTACTGATCAATATTTATTTCGCGTGTCATTTTCCTATTGGTCAATATTATTGAACGTGTCATCTTTCTGTTGGTCAATATTTATAGTAATCCTAACTGTATAAATATGCATTTGTTTGTAAATCATTATTCTGCTGCTCCTGACCCCATAAACGATTTTTCATCTACGGTTCGTGTTCTGATATATTGGAGATTGGGAACAGTATTTGGGTCGAACTGAGATATCTGAAGCTAGTCAATCGGTAGAATTTAGAGTAGCCAACTCGCGATTCACAATAAATTTGGCGACGGAGATTTAGCAACAAGTTGGTGATTAACTGTGGATCCAGCCAAATTAGAAAAATTGTTCGAACAGCAGCTGAAGCTGATGGAGATGATTACTCAGACGCATATATCTTCTCGAGTCCCAATTGCACCGACAATTCCTGAATCAGTTGATGGTATTACCAGTGGTATTTCAGGATTTCTTTATGATCCTGATGCCAACATTACATTTGATACCTGGTTCAGACGTTATGAAGACCTTTTCAAAGTTGACTTTGTTGACAGATGATTCGTGGAAGGTGCGTCTTCTTCTCCGTAAACTTGGTCCATCCGAGCTGGATAAGTATTGCAACTTCATTCTACCACAGAACCCACGCGACCGTTCATTCGACGCCACTATTCAGTCCCTTAGCCAACTTTTTGGTGATCATCACTCACTCTTCAGTACCCGATATCGCTGCTTAAAACTGGCCATGAATGAGTCTGATGACTTCCTGACTCACGTCGGCGTTGTTAACCGTGAGTGCGAACGGTTCAAGCTCAGATCCCTCACTGAAGACCAATTCAAGTCCCTAGTACTCATATGCAGTCTTCAGTCACCCAAATTCTCCGACATCAGAACTCGGTTGCTCAACCGCCTTGAACAAGATCCAACACTGACACTTAATGCGATCATAGACGAATACCAGCGTATCATCAATCTGCAGCGTGACACCACTTTGGTCCAATCTGGGGGCCAGGGTGGTTCCGAAGTTCATGCTGTTCAGCACCAAAAAAAATCTTCGAGATCGACAAACTCGAGTCCTTCGAACGCCAGCGCTGTTTCTATCTCTAATCACTCTAAACCGGCTCAGAAGAAGCCGCCCTCGCCATGTTGGCACTGTGGAGCCTGGCATTATGTGAAGTTCTGTCCATTCAAACAGCATGTGTGCGATCGCTGTCAGAAAGTTGGTCACAAAAGCGGCTTTTGCAAATCCAACCGATTCAATAACCGTCGAAATGCACAGACGCAGCGTCGTTTTCACAAAAAGCCGATTACCTCATCAAGGAGTTTAGCAGCAGTCTTCCATACCCATGCCGCGACTCGACGCAAATTTCCGACCCTCTCAATCAATGGTCAGCCTGTTCGTTTGCAGTTGGACACTGCATCAGATATCACCATTTTGTCGAAAAAGACTTGGCGAACCTTGGGTCAACCTCCCATCAAACCATCCTCTCAAACAGCCGTCAGTGCTTGTGGGGGTCATCTCCGCCTTCATGGTGAACTCTGTTGCTGTATTTCATTCAGAGGTACAACCTTCAATCGGACATGTTACATCACCGATTCTCCGCTCAACCTTTTAGGTTTAGATTGGTTCGAAGAACTTGGTCTCGCTGATCTTCCTATTAGCGCTGTCTGCAATCAAGTCCAAACTACTGCTTCTACACAACAGCATACTGAAGACCTTCGAAAACGATTTATTGAATTATTTAAGCCTGGTCTCGGACTTTGTTCCACAACTGAAGCTGTTTTAAAACTGCAGTCAGAAGCTACGCCAGTTTTTCGCCCAAAGCGTCCAGTCCCATACGCATCTTTACCTCTGGTTGACGCTGAACTTCAACGTTTGGAAACTGAAGGTGTCCTAGTACCTGTTTCTTATTCATCATGGGCTGCGCCAATTGTGGTTGTAAAAAAATCCAATGGTTCCATACGCATCTGTGCAGACTTTTCTACAGGACTCAACGCGGCTCTACAACAGCATCACTATCCGCTGCCGATCCCAGATGATTTATTTACTATTTTAAATGGTGGTACCTATTTTGCTAAGCTGGATC